TGCCGATTGCACCATATGTTTGTGTTCTTTTTTAACAGAGGAGGTAGGATGGTCTCTATGGGGCTGCAGCACTAAACTGAGACGCAAAATGCAGGATTTTTCAAGACTTGCAGGAAAAGAAAAGTAGTATTATTAGCAAGTATCAGTAAAATTGGGGTTAATTAAGAAAAATACAATGGAAAGAAAAATTTACATCTGTAATGCATTGAAAGAACTTTCAAAGCAAACCGTAAATACTAAAACTGAAATACTCCAGAACACTGTAAAATTAAAAGCTTTTTCCTGTTTTGCACAGAGTATACTGCTTTTGTGTATATTTTATTTGTTATGGCGATAACTAAAAAAAAAATGTATATTTAAAAAAATATTTTGTTCCTTTTTCTTTAGTCAGGTAAAAATGAACAATTGCAAAAATAAAATATGCATTATTTTGTATTCTCTGTTTGGCTACCAGGTGGAGCTCTTGGCTCCTTTTCCAATGTTTCTGCTGTCTTTTGTGCTTCTTTGATGTAAAAAGTTCATCTTGTTGTTTACAGGGGGTCAAGAACACAAGCTGCAATTTAACCTGGCTATACATTAGTAAAATTTTGATTGTTAGTGGGGTCAATTTAACGTTCATTTTCAACCACGGTGGGGAGAAAATTTGAAGGAGCAGGATGGAAAATTTTGTTCAAATGAAGTTCTACGTGTTAAGGAAATTACATTCATTGCAAACTTAAATGTTAAAAGCAAACAACATTTTTAAGTACTTTTGAGTAACATATGCCCAGTGATGTACAAAGAATTTTAGTACAAATATTCTTGCGAATGTTCAGCTTTAGACACACAGGTAAATAGCTCTTTCAATGCCTCATTCTTTATCTGACAGCCCTATCTACAATTTCAAGTCAGAAAAGGCCAGCTTCAAAACAGATAGCATCTGTGGTCTTCTCTCCTCAGATAATCCATATAGTCATGCATTACATGTTTATTTGTAAAACAAAGATAACATACAAAAAAATGCTTTACCCCCCGAATCAGCCAGTATAGCATTATATGCAGTATAACATTTTGGGACATAAGGTACCTATTCATAGAGCAAAATTATTTCCAATTGGGAATATAAAATGAGCATCATCATCTTTCACACAAATAAAGATCTAACTTTGATTTAAGAATTTTTTCATTCACCAAGAAAATAAATAGCTCAGCTCACCTCGGGAGTGTTTTTCTTGAATTCTCTACTTTGATCAATAAGTTTTTTTCTGGACTGTTCGCTTTCATCTTGTCTGTTTGCCAATACGGTTGCTGTCGTATCAAGTTCTCTCTGTTAAAGAGAAAAAATTGTTAAGATTTGAGAGAAAAGGCCTGTATACATATATCCTAAAAAAAAGATGATGGGGAGAAAACTGGAAATAGGCAATTAGGTGTAAAATGAAAGAAAGGGAAACTAACCTAACTTTACAATTATAAAATATAACTAAAGGCAAAACTTTTTGTCTCAGTTTAGGATAGAGAACAGAGAGGGATTAGAACCCGTCAGGTTTTTATTGCTGTCTGGTGTTCTCATTAGGGAGATTCGCCTTGTTTATCACTATCCCCAAAGTAAAAAACTTCCACATTTTGGGTTGTTCCCAGAAAGAGTAATACCTGGGTAACAACCAGGAATCCATCCACTTTGAAGGGATTTCATCTTGCTTCCTGTTGTGGAAAGGAGGAAAGGAAGTGAAAAGAAATCTCCCCAATGGGACACAGATGGCAAAAAACCTGAGAGGGGTTAATACTCTCCCTCCATCTACAATAAGTGTAAAAAAAAAAAGTGTTGCCTTTACTTCTATTTTAAAAAATATGAAATACAGGTATGCACAGAGGCAGACAAATTCCAAAGTAAAAAAAAAATAATGGAAATACTAGTAGGTAGAGGTGCCAATACGCCCCAAAAGTCCCACACTCTTCTAAAGCCCCAATACCCCATCTCTGGCAAAAAAAGCAGAAAGTCTGTTTAAAAACACTTTAAGTCTTCACAGTATGTCTATGTACAACTAGTGGTGCAGTCCAGAGGCATAAAACATTACCAATAACTAAAAACACAAAATGTGCTTCTTACAATGGTCACATACCCACACAATAGATAAATCCCAACAGAAACATCTACTTCATAAGAGAAAATCAATATCCACTTAAGCAGCTAAATGTTTTATAATACACAAACACAGATCAGCCATAACTTTTATGTCCACCCTCCTAATAATGCATAGGTCCCCTTTTTGCCACCAAAACAGCCCTGACCCATTGAGGCATGGACACCACTAGACCTCTAAAAAGCTATGCTGTGGTATGTGGCACCAAGCTGTCAGCAGCAGATCCCTTAAGTCCTGTAAGTTTCGAGGTGAGACCTCCATGATCAGACTTGTTTTTCCAGCACGTGCTAGAGATGCTTGATTAGGCTGAGATCTGACTAGACTGAGAATTTGCAAGCCAAGTCAACACCTCAAACTCACTGTTGCGTTCCACAAATCATTCTTCAACCATTTTTGCAGTGTGGCAGGGCACGTTATCCTGCTGAAAGTGGCCATCAGGGAATTCCATGAAGGAATCTACTTGGTCAGCAACAATGTTTAGGTAGGTGGTATGTGTCAAGTAACATCCACATGAATGACAGGACCCAAGGTTTACCAGCAGAACATTTCCCAAAGCATCACGCTTCCTCTGCTGTTGTGGCGGCTTCTCATGGTGCATCCGGGTGCAATCTCTTACCCAAGCATTGCAGTTTGCTGGTCCGTGGGTGCAAAGCCCCATACACAACAAACTGCATTGCCAATTTTCTCTGCTTTCAACATATCTTCAGGAACAACATGTATCCCTGCTGCCTAAACTATCCCAATTACATTCATTGCCATTGTAAAGAGATAATTAATGTTATTCACTGATAAGTGAAGATCTAAATAGTGGCAGTGCCATCCTAGCTACCCCTGTGGTTATTATGCAAAAGGGCAGCTGCTTGGTGCTGGACCCCAGAAGAGTGCTACTAGCTTTGCAGCTGCGGTGACTACTAAAGTGATTTGCAGCTTACACAATCATTTATGAGATATGTGTACTTAAGCTGGTCATACACAAATCAAAGTTTGGCCAGTTAAGCAGGACCAGCTGAATTCCGATCAGTATGTGGCCAGATAAGTTGGAAAACGTTCCTCATTTAGGGGCTGCAGCCACTGATCATTGCATTCTGACAGCAGCGGGACCCGCCGTCACAAAACAATGCCTTGGAGGGAGGGTATCTCTCCATTCACCTCATGTGTATGGCTGGAGAAATCTTTACTTTTTTTTTTTCCATTCACAAACCTTGTTTTGCCAGCTTTACATTGGTCCAACTATGCAAGAAAAATCATACCCAAACCTCAACTATGTTAAATTCTGCTCTTCCTCCTCCCTCAACCCACCCCCCTCCCCCCAGCAATATTTTGAATACTTTTTGGTGGGGCAAGGGGGTACCTGGTTTTGACAGATACCAGCTCCCACTTCCATTCAGATCACCATTGTGATTCCACCAGATGTTCTCCCCCCCCCTTCCCCTCCCTGCCCGTAACCTTCTGGGACACGTCCTTGTGAAGCCACAAGGAGTCACAACCAGCTGCTCACAGTTAACATTCCACCACTGAGGACCTGAAGACCGGTGAAGAACCTGCCCGGGTGAGGACAGATTTGGATCCTTGCACAGAGGAGTGTCTGTTTATTAAAAGTCAGCAACTACAGTCTTTGAAGCTGCTGACTTTAAATTTTAGCAGATTTGATTGAAGCCCCTTTTCAAGCAATTGGATTTCCATAGACTTCAGTAGTTTAGTTTGTTGGTTATCTTTTTTTTTATGTGGCTTGATTGTACTGGATTATTTTTATGGGTTACGGTTAGTTTTCCAATAAAGAGCTACTTAAAAACCTTCCTTGAAGCCCAAGCCATTCTAAAATTGTGATTTAATTGCTCATTTGGGTGTGAGCAGCACATTTTGTTTTTACTTCTGGTTGCTGCTGCCTCGGCATGGGCTGATGTGTGCCTTATGGTAAATAGGGCCTTAACAGCAGTGATATAAGTTACATAAAGATAACAGTCTCTGCAAACACAGTGACTGCTTATAGCTGAGCTAACAAAGGCTACAGAGGTGAACATAGCAAGGTCATCTACTAAATGGATCCTTGGAAACAGGAAGCATGATTTATAGAAGCAGAGGAGTTCCCTGGTGGGTCACTCTTGGGTCCAGATCAATCAAGGTTACTGTATAAAAGAAATCATAATGATCATGGCAATAATTTACCATCACCACAGAAGACAAAGGGCCTATGGAGCTTGAAAGATAAATGATTGTCTTCTAGATTTTAAACTGCTTCAACAACGAACCAAGGTTTTTCCCCGCTCAGTCAATAACGGTGTACACGGAAAGCTGAACTGAATAAAAAGCAACAGTCTTTAGATGGGCACTTTCAGCTTCATGTCGTCTGTCAGCACTGAAGTGAATCTCTATGGTCCTGACATAAAGATGGAGGCTTTATATTTTCCGCAGAGCTCTATTTCTTCTCACCACCCGAGAGGGGACTGATGGGCTTTCAGTTTTAAATGTTTTTGGTCAACTTCTATCATGTATGGTATAATGAGGTCATTATTTTTATTTAATCCTTTAGCCCCCATTACATTATTTTAGCGCAATATCAGGGGCAGACTGACAACTCATGGGGCCCCCGGGCAAACCTATGAAAAAGGTACCAGGGGCATCTATGGGGCCCTCTACTGACCCCGGGCCCTTGGGCAGTGCTCGAGTTTCCAAATGGTCAGTCCGCCCCTGCGCAATATCAAGAGTATGACATATAGATGGAGGCTTTATATTTTCCGCAGAGCTTTATTTCTTCTCACCACCCGAGAGGGGACTGATGGGCTTTCAGTTTTAAATTTTTTTGGTCAACTTCTATCATGTATGGTATAATGAGGTCATTATTTTTATTTAATCCCTTAGCCCCCATTACATTACCTTAGCACAATATCAGGGGCGGACTGACAACTCATGGGGCCCCCGGGCAAGCCTATGAAAAAGGTACCAGGGGCATCTCATGGGGCCCCCTACTGACCCGGGCCCTCGGGCAGTGCCCGAGTTTCCAAATGGTCAGTCCGCCCCTGCGCAATATCAAGCGTAGCGTATATTCTTGTTTTTCGTCTGTTCTCCTACATTTCAATGGGCTGCTCTACACGTCACAAAAACATGGCAAAAAAGCTCATGCACCTTTTTGACCTTCAAGCTTCTTGAGCTGCCATTAACAATAAATGGCACCACTAACCCGACTTATGCTTTTCACGTTTCATGAGAAGGCACAAAATCACTGAATTGTGCACACATTCACACACTACACTAGTCTGAATTCATTCTTAGGCTTCATGCACACTGGGGCTTTTGTAAATGCTTTTCTCCTAGCAGGAGCAGATTAAAAAACGCACCTAAGACATGTTTTTGCAAATGCATTTAGGCACATCGAGTGCTTGGTAATTTGTTTATTTCATTGGCCAGAATATTAAATTATTCTGGCTACTGAAATGAAAAAATGCTCACGTGCTAAACACATCTAGCACTTGCGCTGCGTTACACACATCAGGTGATTTTTCTGCCCAAAGGTTCCTCCTCTGAACGCAATTTTGATGTGTTCAGAGTTCTGGCCTTAAACACCTATGTGTGCATGGACACATGGGCTAACAGAGGGGCATTTAGAGGCAGAAAAATAACTCAAATTCCTGTAAAACAGGCGTTTTGACAGCTGCAGTGTGCATGAGGCCTTAAGGTTCATTCACACTACATTGTTTGAGTTGGGCTTATTTGCACAGATCAACACAGGCACAATGCCATGGCACATAAATAACAATTGTTTTCTATGTGCTCTGTTTATACCACAAAAACTGTGTTGAGGTGGGTTGTAATGCCTAGGAATACAGACAGGCTGCATATTTGTGCACTTCACATCACCTTGCCACAGGTCAATACTTCTCACTGCTGCAGTTCATACAGATGTGATATCATTTTGTGATATTAAAAAACAAAAAACAAAACAGTGCCTTGTGTTGGAACAAAGGCCCGTTTTAGTGTGTAGTTGATGCGAGCAAGAGTTGAAAATATAAACGAACTGTTTAGATGCAATCAAAGATCAGCACCAAAACTGGTGTTTGGTCATATACTAAATACAATAATTAAAAAAATATCCTACCAAATACAATTAGGTGATTTACGGTCGCTCAAAAGAACAATTACATCACATGAAATCGATCTCTATTTGTATTGCATTACTTTTTTTCTTTTTTAAACTTAAATGGATATAGGTTGCTTACATCTAATTCTTCACATCTGGGGGGCAGTGGGGGAAGCAAAATTTACCTGTAGTAGCCTGTACTACATACACTCAGCGCCTCCTGGTGCTGCTCAATCAATTTGCCTTCGGTATACTGAACACAATCTGTGTGCTCTCTACCAGGGGAGGACTGATAACTCATGGGGCCCTCGGGCAATAGGGGATCATGGGGCCCCTGTTTCCTTGCCCAAACTCAAAAAAGCCTATAAAAAAAAAAGGTACCAGGGGCATCTCATGGGGCCCCCTACTGACCCCGGGCCCTCAGGCAGTGCCCGAGTTTCCAAATGGTCAGTCCGCCCCTGCTCTCTACCTACCTAAATGTTAGCAGTTAGCATTTCTCCCAGTATTTTCAGTGGACTATAAAACACCTCCCTGCTATATTATGGCACAGAGGTAAGGGGAATGTGTCCTGTAGTCATGATCTGATCTTGTCACCATCAGGAAACCTGCCCTGAGCAATGAGTAGTCACTGCTGGAATCTGTATACAGTACCAAGAAATGGCTGCAAAACAATGTATTGTCAGCACTAAGATGAAAGAAGAAAAAAAAATGAAAGGGACATCTAGAAGAAAAAAAAAAAAAAAACACACACACATACATGGCACTAGCACTTTCACAAACTAAATATCATCTGGTTTAGTTCTATGTTAACAATTGGAAATTTTTCTGAATCCCTCTGTTACAGCTTCTACAATGCAACCTCAGCCAATAGCAGGGTAGATTGTTTTGTAGGATCTGGGTAATTATACACCCTGTATTTATACAGGTGCTTCCATGAACTGTCTCTGTTGTACAATGTTAGATCTGCTAAAAATCAAAACCAGAATATAAAAGAATGTTCAAAGTTTTTTAAGTATCCCCCCAAAATACTAGATAGGAAATGATGAAAAAAAATCTCATCTTCAGTTTGGCACCAGCCTGCCGGGGATAAAGAGAGACAATGTGATGTCAGTGAGTGTGGAGGAGCGCTCTGCTGTGTCATGTCTATGGAGTTTTCTTTCATTACACTTCTCCGTTCCTTCATCTCCTGTGTGGTGGGGAGGGCCACAAGACACAGACTATTGACAACAGTTGGGTATTTGCTTCCTGTCTAAGCGGACATCCTGTTAAGCTCCAATTACTGCCAACTCGGCAGAGATTACCAGGATTTCTGCTCCACGCTAAAGATGATTTGATAAACTGTGAAGATAGGTGTAGTAAACAGGTAGGCTTCATAGCAGCATGGTAAAACATGTCAGTTCTTGATCTGCACAAATGTCAGCAATGCTTCACATGGGATTTAAGGGGACACAATTTGATATTTTATTTACTGCTTAAAGAGCCCCTGTCTCAATCTAAACTGCAGATAATAGTAGAGAGAAAACTAGTATTTGAAATGCTAACTTGCAATGTTTTTCCTTTTTTTTGTTTTGCAATGTGCCTCTGTGCCAGAAAATTTAACTACAGCAAGAATCTGTTCTCTAGCACAGCCTCCATACCCCTAACATGACATAGCCCTCTCGTCTTCTTGGATTGTCTAAATAGTCTCTGTGCTGGCCCACCTCCTCTGCCCCCCCCCTTCACCTCCCTACATATTCTTTTATGTACAGTTGTGGCCAAAATTATTCAACCCCCAATGCTGTAAAGGGGTTTAGGGACTATAGTGTACATTTGGAATTGTATTCAGAATCAAATCCTACAAGGACGTTGTAACTACCCAAATGCAACTAAAATGACATCAATTGTTTATGTAATACAGTAGTAAATGGTTCTTATGTGGTTTCTTCATTGCCACAATTATTCAACCCCTTAAAGACTACCACTCTGAAGAACAGAGGTTCATACAGGTGCTTTCCATCAGGTATTGAAAACACCTGTGGATGTCACCGAGCAGCAATCAAGCATAATAAGCACCAATTAGGCAGCTTTAAAATGACTGTGATACTCAGCTCCTTCTAGACATTTACTGGTGTGGTTACAAACATGGTGAAGGCAAGAGAATGGTCCAGGAAGACAAGAGAAGAGGTGATTTCTCTTCACAGGAAGGGCAATGGCTATAAGAAGATTGCAAAGATGTTAAACATACCAAGAGACACCTTAGGAAGCATCATTCGCAAATTCAAGGCAAAGGGCACTGTTGAAACGCTACCTGGTCGTGGCAGAAAGAAGATGCTGACTTCGACTGCTGTGCGCTACCTGAAGCGTAGAGTGGAGAGAAGTCCCCGTGTGACTGCTGAGGAACTGAGAAAAGATTTGTCAGATGTGGGTACAGAAGTTTCAGCCCAGACAATAAGACGCACACTGCGTAATGAAGGCCTCCGTGCCAGAACTCCCAGGCGTACCCCCTTGCTGTCTCCAAAGAATAAGAAGAGTCGACTGCAGTATGCCAAAAGCCATGTGGACAAACCACAAAAGTTGTGGGATAGTGTTCTGTGGACTGATGAAACAAACTTAGAACTGTTTGGGCCCATGGATCAACGCTATGTTTGGAGGAGGAAGAACAAGGCCTATGATGAAAAGAACACCTTGCCTACTGTGAAGCATGGTGGAGGGTCAATCATGCTTTGGGGCTGTTTTGCTTCTGCAGGTACAGGGAAGCTTCAGCGTGTGCAAGGTACCATGAATTCTCTTCAGTACCAGGAGATATTGGATGGAAACGTGATGCAGTCCGTCACACACCTGAGGCTTGGGAGACGTTGGACCTTTCAACAGGACAATGATCCCAAGCATACCTCCAAGTCCACTAGAGCATGGTTGCAGAGGAAAGGCTGGAACATTTTGGAGTGGCCATCGCAGTCACCAGACTTAAATCCGATTGAGAACCTCTGGTGGGACTTAAAGAAAGCAGTTGCAGTGCGCAAGCCTAAGAATGTGACTGAACTGGAGGCCTTTGCCCATGAAGAATGGGCGAAGATACCCGTAGATCGCTGCAAGACACTTGTGTCAAGCTATGCTTCACGTTTAAAAGCTGTTATATACTGTAAAAGGATGCTGTACTAAGTACTAAGATTGAATGTCACTTGGGGGTTGAATAAAACTGATAATGCTGTGAGCACAGAAAAGACATTTGTGGTTATTTCATTATAACTGTTATGTTATATTTGTCTGACCTACAAGTGCCTCTTTAATGTAAATGTAAGCAAGATGACTGAATGATCAAAAGCAATGTCAAACTGGCCAAAACACTCAATTTCAGTGGGGGTTGAATAATTTTGGCCACAACTGTAGCTGCCAGAGGAGGAGCATAGAGGAATACTATAGTATGCATAGTGACAACTCTGATTCTGCTGGGGCTGCCAACATCTCACCCAAGATGATAGCACCCAGCAGCAGTTTTAAAGTTGAATTCAGCTTCTTTGTAAAAGGTGAAGGCACACTATGGGGTTTATTTACTAAACCTGGAGAGTACAAAGTCAGGCTCACGTCTGCATAGAAACCAATCAGCTTCTAACCTCAGCTTGTTCAGTTAAGCTTTGGCGATGAAACCTGGAAGCTGATTGGTTTCTCTGCAGAAGTGAGCCTGACTTTGTACTCTCCAGGTTTAGTAAATAAACCCCTATAAGTCCAAGGAGCTGCATGACATCCCCTGTGCTTATCGGCTATTGCTGTATTTCCAAGAGCCCAATGCGGATACTTCAGGTCTAAACATCTTTAACATTAGTCATTGCAGCTGCTTTGCACGCCCCTTCCCTCCTCCTGTCAAATCACAGAAGCCTTTGTATTATGTGAACTCAGTCACAAAATGCAAAAACTTGTCTCAATGAGTGGCAGAATGGAGGGGCGGGCACAGCTGCTCTGTGGGCCTCTCTCTCCTCTCTTACAGCCCCAGCAGAGCCATAAACCTGTCAGATTATTAATAGAGATAAGTTCAGGAGATATCCTGCACCTCCTTGGACTTAACTCCTAGTGTGCCTGCACTCTTTACAAAGTTTCTGAGTTCCTGGAAATTAGCTTTAAGGCTTTTGGATTTTTACACAAGCAGGCTATAACTTGAATAATATAAATTAAATCATATGGAAATACTTCAGCTGAAACAAATGGTCTGGTGACTGGGTCACTTAATAAAATAGTAAGAGAAATATGAAAGCTGACATTGCTGTTTCACTTTTCACTATCTTCATAGTTCATCAATGGGCTTGTAAGCTGCTGTAATATTTATGAGGTTGATCTTGCCCATATACAGTTGTGTCCAAAATTATTCAACCCCCAATGCTGTAAAGGGGTTTAGGGACTATAGTGTACATTTGGAATTGTATTCAGAATCAAATCCTACAAGGACGTTGTAACTACCCAAATGCAACTAAAATGACATCAATTGTTTATGTAATACAGTAGTAAATGGTTCTTATGTGGTTTCTTCATTGCCACAATTATTCAACCCCTTAAAGACTACCACTCTGAAGAACAGAGGTTCATACAGGTGCTTTCCATCAGGTATTGAAAACACCTGTGGATGTCACCGAGCAGCAATCAAGCATAATAAGCACCAATTAGGCAGCTTTAAAATGACTGTGATACTCAGCTCCTTCTAGACATTTACTGGTGTGGTTACAAACATGGTGAAGGCAAGAGAATGGTCCAGGAAGACAAGAGAAGAGGTGATTTCTCTTCACAGGAAGGGCAATGGCTATAAGAAGATTGCAAAGATGTTAAACATACCAAGAGACACCTTAGGAAGCATCATTCGCAAATTCAAGGCAAAGGGCACTGTTGAAACGCTACCTGGTCGTGGCAGAAAGAAGATGCTGACTTCGACTGCTGTGCGCTACCTGAAGCGTAGAGTGGAGAGAAGTCCCCGTGTGACTGCTGAGGAACTGAGAAAAGATTTGTCAGATGTGGGTACAGAAGTTTCAGCCCAGACAATAAGACGCACACTGCGTAATGAAGGCCTCCGTGCCAGAACTCCCAGGCGTACCCCCTTGCTGTCTCCAAAGAATAAGAAGAGTCGACTGCAGTATGCCAAAAGCCATGTGGACAAACCACAAAAGTTGTGGGATAGTGTTCTGTGGACTGATGAAACAAAATTAGAACTGTTTGGGCCCATGGATCAACGCTATGTTTGGAGGAGGAAGAACAAGGCCTATGATGAAAAGAACACCTTGCCTACTGTGAAGCATGGTGGAGGGTCAATCATGCTTTGGGGCTGTTTTGCTTCTGCAGGTACAGGGAAGCTTCAGCGTGTGCAAGGTACCATGAATTCTCTTCAGTACCAGGAGATATTGGATGGAAACGTGATGCAGTCCGTCACACACCTGAGGCTTGGGAGACGTTGGACCTTTCAACAGGACAATGATCCCAAGCATACCTCCAAGTCCACTAGAGCATGGTTGCAGAGGAAAGGCTGGAACATTTTGGA